AAATTGCGCGAGAAAAAGACTTGCATTTTGCACAGAATTATCTTTTTTTTTCAACATTCGTTGGTTATAAATAAATAATTAAAATTGTTTGAACTTTCGGAAACCTAATTTTCTTAGCCATGAAATCGATTTTTGGTAAAATTCTGAATATGAATAAATTTACGGTGGTGTTAATTGATTGTTCATCAATTATTTATAGAAAATGTTTGTAATTTTAAACAGCAACGGCAATTTTTCAATTATTTCTTCAAATTATCTTCGTTCAAAAGGAGCTTTCCATTTTTTTTCAGATTAAAAAATTGCTTTCTGAGGGTTCAATATCGACACTCAAATTCAGACCTGCTAAATTTAAATAAAAAAATCACAGTGAAATGTCCGGAAAGTTGGGGTCAATTGGGGCTCAAACGAAAGCTCTGAGGTTCGACTACAAAAGTAGAAAAGCATTTCACTGGAGAAAAAATAATCAGAATACTTGGATATCGTTAAAAATGTATCAACACCCCTAGATTCCCCTACACTGTTGGAAAAAAATGAAATTTGATGAACAGTTGACTAACAGTTTTCAAGACAGTGACACTGGATGCGATTTAGTGGGAAAAAATCGTGAAATTTCAGGTTTCACTGAAAATTCAGTAAAATTCCAGAATTTTAAGGGGCATAAACACGAGAATTCCATAATTCATTTGAATTTCCAATCTAATACGAATATTCAGTATCAAATTGCCTCAAATTTTCAGTGAAATCTGAAATTTTATGATTTTTCTCCCCTAAATCGCATTCACTGTTGCCACCTTAAGAATTTACGAATATATTTACCAGAATTTTCTGGTTTTCTATATTCATTATCAGAGAAAAGCGAAACGGAAATTTACAGTTCTGTTTGATTTTTTCCCGAAATTATGAATTTTCAATTACATGATTTCCTAAAATTTCAGTGGAATAGCAACTGAATTTGGCACGGAAAATTCAGACAACAATGTTCAACACACGGAGAGAAATGTTCAGTAAAACTTACGGAACTCACAATTCACTCACCGATTACGGAATCGACTCAGAAAATTTAAGTGGCGGTATCGTAATTTTTCACAGGAGATTCAGATAAAAATTACGGAACGCTGCGGAAAAATTCCGTGACAATTCCGTAAAATTTCCTACAACGACATTTCGCTCCGGAATTACGGAAAAGATACGTAATTTTTATTGAATATTTCTCCCCGTGCAGTGTAATTCGAATCTTCCGCTGGCTTTTCAGCTTCAGCAACAGAAAACACCACCGGCTTGAGCTAAAACGAGTGGACAAGTGCATGCAGAAAATTTCCCGAAACACTTTCCCTCAAAAAATACATTTCCCCACCTCCCCCTCCCCTCCGCGCCTCCCTTCCGCCGCCGCACAATAAAAAAAAAACCCGCAACGTTTGAAAACAAAGTGAACGAAGAAAAGGTGCGGCTCAGAAGGGTATGGAGAACTCCGTTAGTCGGGAAAACGGAAAAGCGTGACTCGAGGGCTGGTTGCTGGTCGATAGCAATGGCGTCGCGGCCCCGCGGAGAAAATCAATCTCAGCTCGACGCCGGTTCGGCCTTGTTTTCACGTTTACGGACACTCCTATGTGAAGGATTGCCGTTGCAAAGGGGCTCATTTTTTTTTCTAATTCGAGATGCATTCCTACCAGGAAGGCATTCGCCACAATTATCACATCCTGCAGTACATCATCGTGATTTATAAAAGGGTTGTTACAACAATAGAATCTATGTCGAACGGGAGGATAAAGAAATCCTTGATAACAGAGGACTGACGTACCGACTGTGGTAGAGAAAATAGAAAGAATTTCATCAAAATAATCCTAAGATTATTGTGATTAAAAAATGGGGTAAAACGAATTGTCGTTGATAGCCAATATCTCCCAGCGAAATGAAGCGATTTTAACGAGTCACGTCTCATTTTGAAGGTTAGAAAAGTATCTTGAAAATGAACGAAAAATCGGAAATTTTCACTCTGCGGAAGTTGAGTTATTGGACACGTTTTACCCCTTTAAAGATGAAACATCAATTTCGCATTGTCAAAATCACTTCTTATTGGCTGAATAAACCTCACGAGGCAAAATAGACACTTTTGGCAATATTTGTAACGTCAATCCATTGAATTTAGAATGAAAAAACATTCTTCCTCTGTAAAAAAATAAATCCCTGAATTCAAAAGTCGATTTAGCAATCCCCCGAGTTATCGACGAATATCTCCGAATCTAAAGGATATAAAAAAATTTTCATGAGAACCTTTTTTGTAGAGCTCAATCCACTCTACACAATAGGTAATAACAAAAATTTCGCTACTTCCCCCAGATTCCGAGAAATTCACAAAAAACCGTGCAAAACTCAAAATCGACTAAACCAGACCCATCAATTCCCGAATAAAGATAACCGTCAAGTGTCAATGTTGCCACCAGTCAAATAACCAAATGGAAATCTCACTTTTAATGACACGTTCCGTGGTGGAGAGCTTCTGTGAATTATTGGTGGTCATCCTGTCGTCCGTTAGGTCTCAATTTTCTTGAAATTTCAGCGGCTGTGACCCGCCGCCTCCTCACCAACAATTAAAAATCCACCACCGCACCCTCAACTAAAAAAACTCCACTCAATAACGCAACTCTACACTTGTCAAATGTATTATTTATCCACAGTAAACTATAAAAAAAAAGACCAAAAAAAAAAAACAAACGTGTCTGCAGAGTCTCAACGCTAACAACACACGATGAATATGTAATTGTTTTGGATTGTCCGGAGTGGGGGTAAAAACACAAGTGACTTTTGGAGGGGGTGAGTGGAGGGAAGCGAAAACGAGGGAGGAAGGGAGAACGGGAGGATGAGTATCTTGACCGCTGAGACACCCGTCGCGTTATGGCGCGAGTAACCGCACAGGGGATGGGGAGGGGGATGACTGGAGGC